CTCCTCCTCCTCCTCCCCCTCCTCCTCCTCCTCCTCATCCTCCTCCTCCTCATCCTCCTCCTCCTCCTCCCGTGGCCGCTGGGGTGCAGGCTGGCACCCGAGCGGCCACGGGAAATGCTGCCATCGTGCCAACAGCCAGCAGACACGGTCCAAGCCGGGCTTGCCGCATCCCTTCCCGCCATCGCCGCCGTCACTCGCCATGCCGCCCACTACGCCGACGGCCGCCCGGAGTGCCTCCATCTTCGCGGAGTGTGGCCGCGTGTTGAAGCTGGAAAGTGGCACGATGGAGGAGTTCACGGAGAAGATCAACGGGAAGTTGTCGAGCGTCAAAATCATCAGCAAGGACGTGAGCCAAGGCGTGGCTCCCCCGATGCCCAAGGAGGAGCGGATCGACATGCTCTTCGAGGTCGTCGAAAACATGGCCCGAATCGCTTTCGCCTCAATCGGGTACGCCATTCGCTATGCGTGCTCCCTGATGACAACGCTCTCCTTGTTTGTTGCTCTTATTAGCACTGCGCTCTATCTTGGATATTGAGGCGGGCATTGGGTTGCAAAGTTGGACCTATACGCCGCGGCACGCGACTTTGCTATGGAAAATGTTGGTCCCACGTGGGGTTCTTAATCCGCTGGAGGGACTGTGCCCGTAGGATCCCGCGGCCAGGCTCAAAACAGGGGAAGGGAAAATGGCGCACCAAAAGCTCGTTTGGTGCGACATTTCCCCGTGCTCTTTTCTTGGCCCGCCGCGGGTCATCCCACACGATCGAACAAGACAACCAGACCACCTGACCTCTTCGGGGACCTTCAATTGCACTGACGCCACCGTGAGCTGGTCTGACTCTGACACTCTGATGAAAGCTGCCCTCGGTCTTGTGCAGTTCCCTGGAAGGCCATCATCTCTATAACTTCCGTTGGGCTCAGGAACCTGAGCGGGAATAGACGCTCAACCGCATAAGGTTCGGTCTCGCGTGAGCCATGCAAAGCACAGCAATCCGACAACAAAACGAGGTCATCATCACCATCACCATCACAATCACAATCGCCATCATCATCAGCATCATTGCCATCATCATCAGCATCATCATCATCAGCATCAACATCATCAGCATCGTCAGCATCATCATCATCATCATCATCATCATCATCATCATCATCATCATCATCAGCATCATCATCATCATCATCATTACCATGATCATCAGCATCATGTTCAACAACAGCAGCATCATCATCAGCATCAGCAGCATAATCGTAAGGAGCATCATCATAATCATCATCATCATCATCATCACCATCACCAGCAAGATCACCATCATCATCATCATCATCCTCCTAATCATCATCATGTTCATCCTCATCATCAGCATCGTCATACTCGCCAGCACCATCGTCATCAGCATCATCATTATCGTCGTCGTCATCAGCAGCAGCATCATCAGCACCATCATCATCGTCATCAGCAGCAGCATCATCCTCATCATACGAAGAATCAGCATCACCATCACCACCACAATCAAGATCACCAGCATCGTCAGCATCAGCAACATCACGTTCACCAACACCATCCCCATCGCCAGTATGACCATCCTCAGCATCTCCATCCTCATCATCCTCATCGGCATCAACATCATCATCATCATCATCATCCTAATCATCATCATCCGCATCACCGTGCATCCCCTCTTCCTCTTCAGCATCATCAACATCATAATCATAACAATCGTCATCACAATGACCAGCATCATCATCATCACCATCATCATAATCATCACCATCACCATCACAGTCACCAGCATCGGCATCGCCATCAATATCATCATCAGCATCATCACCATCATCATCATATTCATCATCATCATCATAATCATCATCATAATCATCGTCATCGACATCATCATCGTCGTCATCATCATCTTTCCTCCTCCTTCTCGACCCTGTTCCTCCCTCCTCCTCCTCCTCCTCGTCCCCTATGATACTCATCACTCGAGGACCTCCGGAAGAACCGCCGACATCCCTGGACGACCTTGGACAACAGCAAAGACTCGCCGCAAACGCAAAACAAAGAAAGGCCGTTAAACATCTCAACGACGAGCCCTCGAGGGCCGCCGTGACGGCCCACGCGCGCGGGGCGGTAGGAGGTGAGGATGGGGGAGGATGACGAGGAAGAGGAGGAGAGGAGGAGGGAGGACAGAGGAGGTGGAGGAGGAGGAGGAGGAGGAGCAGGGAGGAGGATGAGGTAGGAGTAGGAAGGTCGTGGGTAGAGGGAGTAGGAGTGGAGGTAGTATGAAGAGCAGGAGGAGGAGGAGGGGAAGGAGGGATGGCGATCCTCGATCCCCGACCCTCACCGCCCAACGGCGGCGACGGCGGCGACTGCAACGAAGACGACTACGACGACGCCCGCGTCGACTGCGACGACCACCACCACGACGAACACCACCACGACGACTACGACGACGACCACAACCACCATCACGACGACGACGGCCGCGACGACCTTAACCAACAAAAACATCGACGAGCACTCGCGGGCCGCCGCAGCGGCGCGCGCGTGCGCGCGAGCGCACGCTGGCCGCGCGGCGGCCTCTGCCCCGCCCGGCGCGCGCGGCTCCGCGACCCGCACCACGACGACGGGAGGCACAGTGACCTCCTGGGCGACGCGGTCGTCGGCGTCGTCGTCGCAGTCGTGGCAGTCGCGGTGGTCGTGGTCGTCGTGGTGGTCGTCGCGGTCGCGGTCGTGGTCGTTGTGGTCGTGGTCGTGGCCGTGGTGGTCGTGGTCGTGGTCGTCGCGGTCGTGGTCGTGGTCGTCGTGGTCGTGGTCGTGGTCGTCGTGATCGTCGTCGTCGCGGTCGTGGTCGTGGTCGTCGCGGTCGTGGTGGTCGTCGCGACCGTCCTCGTATCCGTCGCCGTTGCCGCTGTGCGCTCAGGATCCTCGGCCAGCACCATCAGCGAGAGGTCCCCGAACTGGCACATCTGGGCGCATACCGAATGCCGCCTCGCTCGGCTGCGTTCGGGCCCCCCCCGGTAGCAGGAAAGGTGAAGAGGCGAGTCGATAAGTGGGACTTCGAGACACGGCAGCGTGCACTTGATTTATTGCGCAACAGATCGTGGCCGTCGGGACAAAAATACATTGCGAACAACTTGTTGGGGAATCTTGGGCAAAGCAGCTGCTGGACCAGGCGGTCTCGGGCTTTCCGACACCCTTCCTTGTAGAACCCTTCTGCGGTCCTTTATCCGTCGTCGTGCGTTTTCGGCACGGAGTGGAATGTCCTCAGGTCCCTTGCTCAATCCCTCGAACCTCACTCCTTCATCCTGGAGATTCTTTTCGGAGGCCGGATCCAGAAACTCTCGAATTTTGCTGTGTCCACCTTTGCGGAGCGGTGCTCGCCTAACTGGTTTCACGCCAAGGGGTGACATTCGCTTGGCCCATATTACCGGAGCACCGTTCCGATAATTGGCCTCGAACCGAGGGAATGGGATTTCCTCGCTCCCGTCAGCGGAGCGGCGCTCCGCTAATTCGTCCGGAACCAAGGAGTGTTCATTGCTTCGCACCCAGTACCAGAGCGCTCTCCGCGAATGTCAACAAGCAGTGTAAGGGAAAAAACTGGGGTGTCACTGGAAAGTAATTATGCCCAGCGCTGTACTGCGCATGTGGAACACAAATTGAAGGCGGGGCCACGGGGACCGCTGGGGACTTCCCGGCGACCGCCCTGGCGCTCCGCATTCACGGGCAGAATCCTGCGCACCCCTCCTTGGTGTCAGGCCACGCCTGCTTCGCACTGCGACCCTGGTGTGGATAGAGACTGCGCTCAGGGTCGCCCTGCGACTTGGAGTGGATCGAAATTGCGCTCAGGAACCACCCCATCCATACTCTCACTAATGCAGAGAAAATGCTGGCGCCAGCCTTGCGCTGCGGCAGGGCAAGGCTGGCAAGGCTGAGACAAACCAATTCTATCACTTGCAGTCTGAGCCTCACCATGACTTGGGGCATTTGTGCTCCTCGTGCGTCCATTGTGTAGCGCGCACCACGCAAGTGGTCACCCGAACATATATAGATAGATAGGTAGATAGATAGATAGATAGAACAACTACCTGTTTCACTTGCATGTGAGGCCTCAACATGACTTGGCCCATTCGTGCTCCATACTCAGGGGCACGTCGTGGGCGGACGGCGGGTTGTCGCCACATTGCCGCTCGTGCCGCTTCCAGGCGCCTCGTGGGCCCTCCTTCCTTGAGGGGCACGTTGGGCGTAAGCCACGTTGCCTCCCCTGCCGCCTTGTGGGCGCCTCGTGGGCGCCACGCCCTTGGGGGTGCGTTGGGTGTTCGCCACGTTGCCGCCCGTGCCACCTCGTGGGCGCCTCGTGGGCGCCTCGGGGGCGCCCCGAGCTCTGAGCTTACTCGACGTAAGTCTCACCACACAGCTTACACCACATGGCTTGCACTCGCCTCCAGTTCACACCGCATAATGTGCACGCCCATAGCTCACACGGCATAGCTTAAAAGACATAGCTTTGACCACATTACATTGCTTGCACCGCATAGCTGGTACCGCATAGCTTCAACCTCCACAGAGCAAGAGCCCGCTGTCCAAGGACAACACTGTCTAACAAGCAAGCAACAACAAAAACTGTCGCCTGCGGTAGGCTTCTTCACATAAACGTCGCAAACTGCTCACGACCCCCTGCCATTATCGATAGCATCCGCAACTGCGGGGGCCTATGCAAGTGTGCAGTGTGTATGCGACCCGTGTGACGATAATGTCTGCTGTTGGTTCCTATGTGTGGCGCATGATCTAGAAGTCAGGCTATGCTGCATGGTATTTCTATATGCTCTCTGTGCGTGATATGTGCGTGTGCGAAACCAAATATTGATACATATTATGGGTGCGAATGCATGGCTTCGTTCCGTGTTTGTGTGCTGGGTGCTGGCGTTTGGTCTGATATGGTCTTGATGTCTCGCCTTGATGAGCGTTCCTGATGTTATTTTTATATCTGTATTAGATTTCGGTGCTTGTATATATTCCGGCTGTCTGTTCTTGATGGCTATGGACGGCTTGTGCTGTGAAGTGAGGTTGGCTTTGATGTCTGGTCTAGCTTGATTTGCTTCGATCGAGGATCTGGATGACCAAGCCCCAGCATTAATCACTGGCACCACTTCAGGAGGCTGGGCAGTCCATCAAGAACAGTGCACTTTCTCGAGTACTGCTCTGGCTTCCGCAAGTACTGACTCACATCCTCTGGCACCACGGCAAAATTTGGGATGTCATTGAGAGTCGGTTCCGAAGCTATGAGGTTGTTCGCTGCCGACATCACGCTGTTGACCGTTGCTGTAGCAACCCACCAGGCCTGAAGTGCCTGCTCACGCTTGCGCCCATCATCTAAATCCTTAGCAATGATGCTGCGGAGGTCACGAAATGTTCGATCGAGCACCTGTGGAGCATCTTCGGCGCCTGGCAGGAAATCCTCATTGCCCTGCACCACGTACGCTGCTGAATGCCAGGCCTCGTTCGGAAAAGCGTCGAATTTAAGGACCTCAGCGAGCTTTGTCCAGTTACCAGCGTATATCATAGGTCGCACATCAAAGACCAAAACGTCCGCGGCTCGTTGCAATTGCTTGGCATGCCTACGCAATGACTTGTCCAACAACGGTACCACCTCTCCGGAAGCAGAAGATGGTGTCCCAACCACAGCTTGCCCCACCGTCCACAAGCCAATCGTCAAGAACTGATCTCTTCTTCTGGGGGGACTAGTCCAAGCAGAAACACTACCGTCGGTTTTGGAACACAGGGGCCAGCTCAAAGCAACCACAAATGCTACGCAACTGCAGCCTGCGAACCACCCATGCCGCAGCCTGCAGCGTTTAGACAGAACCATCTGCTGAGACCAGCGAAGGACCATGAGCCAAAATGGTCACGGAGGCTTGACGCTTGCTCTTGGCAACAGCAATTATGGATGTCTTTTCCTGGCGGCCGCGGTATTCCCGCTGGCGGGCGACGCGGAATGCCCAGGATTCTCGGGAGTGCTGGGGCCTGGCAGCCGCGGAAAGCAGGGCAGGCGGCCAAGCAGTGCTTGCACTTTGATGGTACCACTCTCCTCCAGGAGCACCTGGCTGGGCCTGCCGAGGTATCGCCTGGTGGGCGGACGTGGGTGCCTCGTGGGCGCCCCGTGGGCTGGCTGGGTCAACCGAGGTGTCGCCCGGTGGGAGGACGTGGGCGCCTCGTGGGCGCGTCGTGGGTGCCCCGTGGGCTGGCTGGGTCAACCGAGGTGTCGCCCGGTGGGAGGACTTGGGCGCCTCGTGGGCGCGTCGTGGGCGCCGCGTGCGCTGGCTGGGTCGGCCGAGGGTTTTCTCCTGGTGGGCGGACGTGAGCTCCTCGTGGGGGCACCGTGCGCTGGCTGGGTCTGCCGAGGCTTCACGTGGTGGGCGCCCCGTGGGCGCGTCGTGCTGCTTGCAACACACAGCTCGCAATCTATGGCTTGCACTGCTCTGCTTGGGCCACACAGCTTGCACCGCATAGCTTGCACCACATCGCTGGCGCCACATTGCTTGCACCAGGCACAGGTTGCACAATCTGGTGTTCAGCACGCATAGCTTGCACCACATAGATTAAACACACAAGATGCAAGAACTCACTGTTGGGACTCCGCGCGGCTTTGGGGAGTCGCAGGGAACCAAGTCCATGTGCGCAGGCTTGTGCTGGGGGAAGCTGGTGGTCCCGCATCAAAGGTCACCCTGGCGAAGGGTCACTCCCACACGCAGCCGAAAACATCTTCAGACATAACTAGAGGAAGGCACAACACCTACACTTTCGGAACTCAGCGAGGATTTCTTCGATCCGCGCTGGACCTCCCTCCCTCTGGCGCGCGGAGACAGTGTAGGGGCGGCGCCCGACGACGACGACGACGACGACGACGACGACGACGACCGCAGCGTTGCGCCCTCGACCGCGCCTCTCCCCGGCGGCGCCGGCAAGGGCCCCTTCTCCGAGGGCGGGCCGAGCCCCCGGGAGGCCGAGAGCAGGGAGCGGAAGCACGGGGAGGAAGAGAAGGGGAAAGGGAGAGAGAGAGGGAGAGAGAGGAAGAGACCCCTCCTCCTCCTCCTCCTCCTCCTCCTCCTCCTCCTCCTCCTCCTCCATCCTCCTCCATCCTCCTCCATCCTCCTCCTCCTCCTCCTCCTCCTCCTCCTCCTCCTCCTCCTCCTCCTCCTCCTCCTCCTCCTCCTCCCCCTGGACGGCCCAAGCGCCGCGGCCTGGCAAGAGAGAGAGAGGTTCAGAGAGAGAGAGGGAGAGAAATAAACGGCGCGGGGATTGATCCACGATTGACCCTCGCCTGGAAGATCGAGTCTCGGGGACCTCGGCAGGCGGGGGATACGGATATGGTTATGGATATGGATATTTTTATATATATATATATATGTATATATATATATATATAGATATACTTATGAGTAGATTCCCCAATAAGAGCTTGCCTCTGTAGGGGTCCTAGCGGATTCATATGGTTAGGTTAGGTTTGCCGCTGATTTTCGCGGCACGCCCGGGTGCCCGGGTACCCAGGGGTGCCCGGGTGCCCGGGTGCCCGGGCGTGCCCGGGCGTGCCAGGGGGTGCCTTGGTGCCCGCCCGGTAGCCCTATAGCCTTATAACCCTAGATCCTTATAGCCTCATAGCCCTATAGCCCTATAGCCCTCTAGCCATATAGCCCTATAGCCCCAATAGTCGTATAACCCTATAGCCCTAATAGCTCCATAGCTTTATACCCTTATAAACCCTATAGCCCTACAGCCCTATAGCCTTATAGCCCTATAGCTCTCTAGCCCCTCTAGCCCTATAGCCCTATAGCCATATAGCCCTATAGCCTTATAGCCCTATAGCCCTATAGCCCTTTAGCCCCATCGCCATATATTATTAAACAGATTATGATTGGGTTTTCTCTGGTATCACATATATATATATATATATATATAGCTGGCCCCCTGGGGCCCGAACATACCCCCGTTCGCCGCCACGAGGTACACGACAAGGTCGACGACCAGGACGACGACGACGACGCCCACGACGAGGACGCCCCCGCCGCCGCCGCCGACGAGCCTCTCGGCGCCCTGCCCCACCAGCAGCACGTGGAACGGCTCGCAGCACCCCGCCTCCTGCAGCGTCAGCCTCGCCCCACCGGGCACGCCGCGTGCCGGCACGGGTGCAGTGCGGCCAGGCGATGAGGCACAACATTCGGGTCGGGCACGTCCCCCTACAGACGGATGTTGGACGAGAAGCCACAGAGAGCCGAAGAATACGCAAGAATAGCTCAGAATGGTTCACACAAACCGTCCCCAAACTATTGTTAGACTATTTTGGAATATTCCTCCTAGTGGGACACCAGATCGGGCGGCCACGATGACGCAGTCAGCCCCACGCCTCCGGCATGGTAAGAAAGCTACATACGGAGGTATTTCTTCGTTCTCGGCCCCTCGGGCCCGTCGCCGAGCCCTGGGACCGTCAAACAGAAAGCCCAGGGCACAACGCTGGCCCTGGGGGACGGGTCGGGACGACCAGCGACCCCGCACTGACAAAGCACAGTACATCGGATCTCTGGGATTGTCGTTTCCTATCTGGGTCGCTGGCTGCGGCGTGGCGGCCTCGGCGGCGACGACGACGAGCCAGGCATCGTGTTTTATCTTCCGCTTCCCAGTGAGACGCCGCGACCTCCTCTGGGCATCTCTTCTCCGCCCGGTCGCATGACGCCAGGACGGGCCAACTGCCAGGGCCGGAGCCCGCACGTCCAAACCCAGACCTCCAGCGTCTCGAAGGCAAACGGGGCGGGGGGCTTCGGGAAGTGTGCGCTGCTTCCTGGGGCCTTCCTCGCAGCAGGATGCTCTCCAACAGCCGCGCCTCGCCGAGGGCGTTCCTGGGGGTGCCAGAGGCGGGCCGAACATCGGGGGCGCGCAAACATGGATTAGCGATCCATGGATTTGGCGCGCGGTCGCCAAATCCATGGATCGGGGCAGGTGCCCTCCCAAAAATGCGGCCAGTGCCGCCTCGTTCGGCGGCGGAAATCTGCCATTTCCACTGGAAAAGGGACCCGTCGCTAATCCACGCCCTCTTGATCCATGCATGCAATCGCCTGAGAACAGCCGATGGAGGCCCGAGCTATGACCCGAACGCCCAAGACCTCCAACGTCACGAAGAGACCCAGGCGGAATCTCATTTTACTTGTCGTCGTGCTGAGCACCCGGGGGGCCCTCGCCCCCCCAAAAGGGACACTGGGGATCCCTTCGACGCAAAGGTCCCCACTTGTGCACCTCGGCTCCTGCTCCCCCCTGTGGGTGTCTCAGCGGCGAGCGAGGGGGGGGGGAGCGAGAAGGAGAGGGCACTCTCGGAGGGCGGCGGGGCTTCTCGGGAGCCCTCGCGCCTTCTGAAAGGTTCCTGTGTATTTTGGCGAAGGCTCGAACAGCTTCTCGGGAGGCCGGGGGACTTCCGAGCCTTCTGAGAAGGCCTTCCCCTCCTCACTTCCCCCCCCAGGCTCGACGCCGAGTGCTTGGGTGAGAGAGAGAGAGAGAGAGAGAATCGTAGCCTGTGGCGGCTGAGCGCTCCCTGCAGGACCCCCCTTGGAGCGTCCAAATGCACTGTCTGCTCCGGTGCGGTGATTTGGGACACGGAGAGGGCTCGAGGGTACCGACACCTGCGTTTCCCCTGAGAGGTCCCACGTTCTGAATGAGAACTGGCAGGGGTAACATGCTCTGGCAGCTCACGCACCTGGTGCACAAGTTCCGTGCCTTCTACATCGCGGTTGTCCTGGGGACTCGGGGGTCCTCAAGCCAGCGAACCCCTCGAGGCATCCCCACGATCGAAAGGCGAGGAAGCAAGTGCAACACCCCCTTGGCGGTTGCTCCTTGGGGCTCCCAAGTGCTCCATGCACCATGTCGACATGATCACACCTGAGAAAACCCAGTCAAAGGATGATGTGAAAATTACTACGATGGATCTTCAGATCGATCGTGAGCTCGATGATGAGATCGACAGTGGAATCCATAGTGAGGACGACTACAAGGTCGATCCTTGGGGTTCCCAAGGTGCTCCATGCACCATGCCGACGTGACCACGAGGCTCCTCCACGCGAGGCGTCGGGTGCACCACGCGAGCGAACCGACCCAGCGGCCCTGCCCACAGCCCGCACCACCGGGGCGCGAACCGGCACGTCTCCCCCCTCCCCGACGGCTCCCCTCTCTGGGGTGCCCCAGATGCCACGCCTGCCCTGTCGCAGTGGTCGTGGGGCTCTCGGGCACGGGTCCGAACCACCGAACGTTGAGCAGGGAGCGACCGTCCCGGCATTCCTAGAGTCCTACCACGAAATGTTCCTAGAACCCAGACATGTTCTGAGAACCAAAGCAATGTTCTTAGAACGTAAACCCGATGTGCTAAAACAAGACAGTACCAGCCAGAAATGTTCTAAGAACATTTCGTGGGAGCCACAAAAGGTTCTTAGAACATTGTTTGGTAGGGCTATAGGCGCGCCAGGACGCTTCACGACTGCTTGAGAACGGGCAAGCCTCCTGAGACGTCCACACAAGCAGGGCGCGGACGGGACAATGAAACCACCACCGGCGGCTCCCCGTGGGGTGCCCGAGTGCCACGGCTGCAGTGTCGCGAGGACCGTGGGGCCCTTCAGAAGACATGGGTCTGAGCCACCAGACAAGCAAGCCGCCTAATACATCGCCACAACCTGGGCGCGAAGGGGAGCCTGCTATGTCGCTGTGGTCATGGGGCTGTCAATGCAGGGGTCTGGGCAACAAAGCGAGCAACCGCCTGAGACATCCTCACAATCTGGGCGAGAACAGGAAAAGGAAACCACCCCTGGCAGCTCCCCTCTGGCGTGCCCAAATCCCATGCTACATTGCGGTGAGCATGCGTGAGCCTGAGTGCGAGGAGCGACTATGAGTTGGTATAAGTGTCAGTGGCAGAGTGTGGGTAGATCTGAGTCTAAGTCTGAGTATGCGTGAGTTCGAGTGTG